CCCCCAGTGGTTGCCTTAGTAAGATACTTTGGAACTTTCTGTTATTTCTCCTCATCCTTCTTAAATGCAGTGGGCTCCTGAAATTTATTTGAAAGTTTTATTAGTGGTCTTTAGTATTCTTCCTTCGAAAAACAGTTCAAGTCGGTTAGTACCATAGTTTGTATTGCCAGTAAGAACGTGGTTTCACATCATTTAGATTCCTGATGTTGTTCTGCTTTGCTAAAGGAGAATGAAAAGAACAAAAAACAATTTTAAAAATTATTGTTTTCTAGAAAACAGAATAATTTCTCAGTAGCTAAACTTGTAACCTTGCTTGGCTATGGGATACTTGTATCACAGAACCATCTAGTCAGCTAAGTTAAAAAAATCAGTCCAGTTCACCATTAGGTTGGCTAGAAGTTCCCATCTTAAATAAACATGCAAAATAAAAAGTATCTTGAATCTATATCTTCAAATAAGTCATACGGAAAGTTCATGAAGTTTTCTCTGAATACATAATTTTAGTCATTTGGATTCAGACAGGCCCCAGTTTAGTTCCAAAGATTTTAAGTCATTTTGTTTGTCACTCATAACAGTTTCACACAGAAATTGGAAGCTTGATTGGTAGGTGTATCAGTCAAGGTTCTCTAGAGGAACAGAACTCATAGGACATGTAGGCATATATATAAAGGGGAGTTTATTAAGTATTAACACAAGATCACAAGGTCCCACAATAGGACGTATGCAAGCTGAGGAGCAAGGAGAGTCAGTTCGAGTCCCGTAACTGAAGAACTTGGAGTCCAGTGTTTGAGGGAAGGAAGCATGGGAGAAAGATGTAGGCTGGTAGGCTAGGCCAGTCTAGTCTTTTCACTTTTTTCTGCCTGCTTTATATTCTAGCTGTGCTGGTAGGTGATTAGATGGTGCCCACCCAGCCTTTCCCAGCCCACTAACTCAAATGTTAATCTCCCTTGTAACACCCTCGCAGACACACCCAGCATCAATACTTTGCATCCTTCAATCTAATCAAGTTGACACTCAGTATTAGCCATCACAGTAGAATATGAAATTTGGAGTGTCTCAAGATGTTGTGTTAATATAAACTGACGTCATGCTCTAGAACCTGACCTGTTTATATTTTTTTCCAGAGGAAAGGCCATTTTTTTTCTTTCTCATGGAAATCTTGGGAGATGTGTCAGTTATCCAGGGTCAAGCTCTTATTGAATAACTGGCAGAGTCATGGTGCGTGAAATGTCTATCCCTCATGGCTAGTAATTAATTATTATATTAAATCTTTATTGTTTTTCTCATCCTTTTTTCTTTTAATTTGCTGTGAGTGGTCATAATCACATTTCAGATGTGTTGAATGTTAATGAATCAATGACATAGCATGTGTTAAATTTGTAGCTAGTCCAGTGCCTGATATATAGTAAGCACTCCTTAAATATTATCATTATAAATATTGTTCAGTGAGCCTACAGTTAATCATTTCTAACATAATAAATGATTAAGCAACTACATCTAGATGACACGTATCAGGTTTGAAATGCATTTTATATAGGATCAAATTACCTTTTCTACCCTTTTCAGAGCACCTTCCAAGTAGTTCTTAAGGGTTTATGGCATGTCTATCAATTTGTCACTTTGTTTTCTTCAAAGCTGAGTTTCCTGTTTTGGTCATTACTTAAAAAATGTATATGGTTCACTAAAGTTAAAAGTGTTACACACACACACACACACACATATATATATGGTATGTATATATGTATACCTTCAATGCAGTGCATTGTTTTAAATGGTGATTTCTTAAGACCATTCAGTGCTCCTGCAATCACATGCTCACTGGGTTAGCATTTGACTTAGGTCAAAATAGGAACACATAAAAAAAAAAAAACACTTAATTGGAATTTTACAGTGATTTTTCACATAAACCAGCTTAAACAAGATGTATTTGTGTATAGCAATCAGGAATTGACTTAAACTCATGTGTAAATATGTGTGTCAAAAAGATGATTTAAAATGGTGAAAAATTGTACACAATAGAATTTCAAGCCTGGTCATGTCACAAAATGTGAAGAAGTCCAGTTCTTTAGTCAAAACTAGAATTGTTACTGTAGATTATGATTAACTTTTTTGCAATTACAGATTTTGATACTGTCATTTTGATTACAGCTTTTATATATTAAGATAGGGTAATGTAGAGCGATATAATAGACTATTCAATTAAAATGGTTTTGCTGGTTAAATTCAGCATTAAGATCAGACATCTGTAAACCACATTTATCACTAAGAATTTAATTGATCATTTGAAACAAACACTTGATTTAATTGATCATTAAAACAAACACTTGATTCTTTAAAAGCCCAAGTATTTAAAAAACCTAAAAGCATTAATGTTAACAACTTCCCATTGTGTGCTAGGAAGAAAACTGCATTTATGATTAATCTGCAATTTTAAAGCACCCAGGACCCTGAAATACTATAATAATTCTTATTGGGAACTATACTTATTTTGATACATCCTTCACAGAAATTGTGAAAATAAACATGAACATAAACAACTCATCAGTTCATTAAAATACAAGTCTGAAATTACTGTGTTCTTCAAAAAGGTATGTAGTCATATGGAAACAATATTCACTGAATGTGATTAAGAAAAGGAAAGAATTTGTCACTTGAATATGAAAGGAGAATCATAAAAATATTTATTTTCAAGTCATGTTTTAGATTTCAAGGTCATCAGTTATGAAAGACGCCATGTTTTAGGATGGGTCAGGAAGCAGGGGAAGGATTAATTCTTGACCCTCATTCTTTCCCTAAGACCAGGGAAGTTTTCTGTTTGTTAGTTTGGAAGACCATTTGCTCAATTACTAAAAAAGTTTTGACTATTCAGAATGTGCTAGGCACTCTGTTCAGAGTGTGTCATGGTATGGGCAAGTGCCCACTTTAGGCAATCTCCACCTACAGTTATATTGTATTAAACACTTTCTATGAAAAGACATGGTGTGTCTAAGGCACATAACCAAAGCATGGCATACAGTAAGTGCTCAGTAATGGAGAGTTATTATTCATGTTTTATCCTTTATAACTGTTGTCATCTACTGAGGAACAGAGTTTAGCTTAAAATGTTAAATTCAAAGAGGATGATTCATCATTTCTATGATGGTTTTATAGTTAAAATAATAGAACAACTTATACTAATGAGACTTCAAAAAATTTTTATAGAAGTTTTTAGTCACCAAAATGGGTCTCTTTTTCATACTTTTGCACAGGAGTAATCATAAATAGTTCATGCGTCTCTCCTGAAAATTTTATGAATAGATTATTTTAATAAAACTATGCAGAGCAGAATTACACGGCAACTCACTATACTAGAAACACATATCTTCAGGGTGACTAGATTTCTCTTGAGATAAGATGGGATTATTCTCAAATACTTTAAGTCATGTAAATGTGATCAGAAACACTACTTTTTGTTATGGAATCGCTCAGTAAATTTACTCTTACCAACTTTGGAATCCAACTAACTATATGTTTCAAAGAACCATCTGAAAATAAGCAAAGTGATACAAACTTTAACAATTAAATGTAAGCACATAAAATTTAAATCGTTTCTTGGTAAGTAGGATATCTAGAGCTGTGCTATTTAATGTAACCCCTAGTCGTATGAGTCTATTTAAATATAAGTGAATTTAGATTAAACATTCAGTTATTCATTATATTAGCTACATTTTAAGTGTACAGTAGCTGTATGTAGGTAGCAGATACCATTTTGAACAATGCAGATGTAGACATTTTCAATAATCACAGATAGTTTTCTTGGACAGTGTTGCTCTAGGGTATTTTAAATAAAGGAATATTTGATGTTTACTGTTTACAATGATGACTGCGCAGAAAATGATCTAAGAGGCTTGGTGTTTCATAGTCTCTTTGCGTCTTTCCACCACACCTCTCAAATCTTGAGATTATTTGGCATGCTCTTTGACAGACAAAGGCTACTTTACAACAACTTTAATTTCAAAACAAATTAAAACTAAGCAAAGTATTTACTCAATGACTTTTAGGAAACTGGAGTTTTGAATATTGTCTTAAAGAAATGGCTAATCAATGAGATCAATGCTTTCTCCGCAGCACCTTCCAAACCTTTTCTTCTGAGCGCGCCGCCATTCTACTCGGCGTGCTGTGGTGGGTCCTGTCGGCGCACTGCATCCTCCGCTGCTTTTCCAAGTAAGTTTTTATGCTTCATCAGCAATGCCTCAGTTACTCTGTAAACGAAAGCTGCAGGATTTAATGTGCTCTGGAAAACTAATTGGTAATGCAACGGCAAGGAGCTAATTCCTCACTAAAAATCACAGCAATCCTATTCAGGAGCTTTCCAGAGATTTATCAAACCTCAGCACACTGAGCAATTGTGAGCAGTTCTAATGGCATTGAAACCCAGGGCCGACACATCACCAAAAGCAACTTGTTTTCCATTTGATATAAAAGATCTCGGAGGGACCAGTTTGGCTTTTCTGAAATGTGTAGCAACACTCCTTTAAAGAAGAGGAAAAAGGAAAGGAAGGAAGGTGAAAACGTTGTGCTGTGTAAAATTTCCATTCCGCTTAAAATGTAACACAGAAAGTCACTAAGTATCTATGGAGAATAATTTAAAATTGTCAAGATCATGAGAGGAGATAAATCTCTCATTTTTGGCATCTTGAAAGTAACCAACCAGAACTGTTGGAAATATTTTCAAGAGAACTCTTTTCTCCCAACATTATAAAAGCAAAATTTTAGTAGAGTCTGGGGGTGGAGTGAGAATGACAGACTTTCGAAATCTCGCAGCGTGCACACACACACTCTCACAGGCAAAGGAAAAACACAGGCATAAAAGTAAAGTTCCCCTTGGTCTTGAGATTTCTGGGTCAGATGAGAATCTCTAGGCAGGGAATTTGAGTTTATGGTAAAGAGATCCAGTGGAGGGGTGCATTTCTTTCAGCTGCCCAAGAGAAAACACTTATTCAGCTTAACAGCTCTGTCAGGTGAAAAGTGAAATAAGAGTTGAGTCCGGCTCCTGTGCCGAACCCCATCACGGTTCAATTCAGATCCCTGCTGCCTCTGTGCATGTGTCTTGGGAATGGTTCAGGAAAACAGTTGCTCGACAGAATAATTCCTGACAAGTGAGGCAGCAAATGCTGGCGGTTTAATGAGCTGCAGGCTCTGAGCATCTCTTTAGGGGGCTGATACTTTCCCACAGAGCACTTTACATGGCTGAGACCCGGCCACAATGGGTGACAGACCCGTGACCAATCGTCACTTTCACTCGACTCATCCACACGCGACCTCACCACGATTTTTCACTCTGCAGATGAACTTTAGGAACCATTTCACATGGAAAAGGCTTGGGCAAGGGTCAGTTGCCCTTTTGTATGGTCATAAAGCAAGACTCTGTGTGTCAGTCTTTTCTCCTGTCTCACATTCCAAGTGAATTTCTGGACACCATTTAAAACACTTGACTGAAAAATAAAGCAGTGAATGAAACTGACTTTTATAGACTCATTCTAGCTCATCTTCCCATATAACCCTGTCTACCTGAAAAGGGATTTAGTCGATGAGCTGAGTGTATACAGGGACTTGCTGAATACATAGGGCCCATTATCAACTGTGGGAATTGTTTATTAACCGGGACTGATACACTACTATTTTGGAAGTGACCTATTAATTGTCCATTTAACTAGAATGTATTGAATTCAAACAGAAAAATAGAAACCATGACTAAACCTTTTACTCGCTCCTTCAAGGTGGTCTCCTATGAGGACAATTGAAAACTCTTGTGCAAATTAAGGAGACATTTATCACCATATATGAGGGTATCAGGAAAAGACTTCTGGAGTAGAGACCTAAAACCCAAATATCTGGTACCGTATCATGGTGGCATCTCTGTGGAATTAAGTCTTCAGTGTTAGATTTCGGGAGTGGAGATCAAAAGAGGTCCCACACTTAGCTTCAGTTATTTCATCATGATATGATACTGGGTTTTTACTTCAGAAAATCTCTGGCAGTTCAGGTAAGTGGAAATGGACAAAAAATTCCATATAACAGGTGGACAGACATTCATGTGCATGTGTGTGTGTGTGTGTGTGTGTGTGTGTGTGTGTGTGTGTGTGTGTGTACTTATTTTATAGGGATGTTTGAAGAGTCTCAAGCTATCAAAGTTTGGGGCAGTTTACTAGATAGAAAAGAAAGGCTGGGCCAGTTCAATAAATAGAGCATGTAAGAGTAATGCTAAAGACATTTTCTAGATGACTTTATCTTCTCTACTGCTTGAAAAATTACTTTAAGCAGGTCGTATTTTTCTCCATCTGCTTCCCAGTTTTTCCTACTTTGTGCCTTTTGCATAACTCTTATAAATTATAGTGTTTAACCCTAGAGGTTTATGAAGTCCTGTGTTTATCTTTTTCTTAAAAATAAATATACAATCTGAAAGTCAGTGCAGCTCTAATCAAGGATAGAAAATGATTCACTTGATTTGGCTTCATTTCTAAAGTTGGCATTTTAAAACAGTTTAGAGATCCCACAAGTGATTTTAATAAATGATAGTTTCTCATATTATTAGTTATAAGTCTAAAATGAATTTCATATTTTCTTATTTATAATGTTCATTTGTATTGGCAGCAAATAATAACATGGTAGAATTAAGCTGTCAATAAATAATTTTACATAAATAAGGTACAGTTAATAAGGTTTACATCTGTACAACAATTTTTAATAAGACATTTGCTAGTTTTTCTTTTTTTCTTCTTTTTTAAATAATAATAATGATTTTTATGCCCAGGTCTTTATATTATTTTCCATTGTACAAACAAAGGAAAGTGGACTGTCCAAATAAACTTGCATTAAGTTTCAGCTCAGACAGCCAAAATTAGGTTTATATTGAAAAGTGTAATAACTGATTAAATCAATGGCCCTCATCATTGTTTCACTATATTGCTTCACTCTTTCCAAAAGAGTAGGATCAGACCAGCACATTTTTAACTATGCGAGTGAAGTATTATTTTGACTCTTTACATGATTCATTTATTTAATATTGATTTAGTTTTTCTTGTGAACTTCTTAGATTTACGACTAACTTCTTGTTGCAATGTGGAAACAATCATTCAATGGCCTTCTCACATGTAGTAAATAGTTTAATAAGCTATTTAAGCACAACACTTACAGTGGGGAAAAATTAAAAGGCAGTGCTAACAGTTCTCCCCTCACCCAAAGCAGTGTATGGAAAATCTTTGATATTACAACCACAAGGTTCTTTTCAAAATAACATATTTCTCAAATAACATGAAATGGAAAGTTGTGGAAATTATGTAAATAATGACTTTTTAAAAATTACTTAAAGTATAGGAATCCTAATGATGTAGACTAGCTAATTGAATTAATCAGATAATTGTTTTGTTTCGTCTTTGAGTACCCAACTTGAATTTGACCTTTGAATTTTACGCCTTAAAAGACAAAGCTTAAATTTGGAGCAGCGTTATAAAAATTTGAGCCAGGAAAGTATTCTTCTGGGACAAACTGCTCTGCCTTTTGGGAGATGAACTTATATTCTACATTTTAAGATAATTGTACTGTCTTCTTCTTCTTGTTAAAACTTAAAAAAAGTAATACACTTTCCAAGTTTCAATTTTTAGGATTGTGTTGAAGGCAGAAAGGAAGGGACATTATTTTTCTAATTGTGAATGTAGGTTGGTTCTATGAGTTTCATGGTCAAAGACGGGGAATGCACTGATTAGTATTCTTACCACCTGTCCTGACTGTGTTCTCTTTTACTGCTCTCAGCTGGAGTGGCCAGTGGACTGAGGACACTGAACAGGATCTGTGGAAATCTACAAAAGGTTGCATACAATTTTTAAATAGGGATTAATCTTAGCACTATAAGATCTTCAGAGGGATGCATAATTTTTTTCTAATATAAAAAGAAGGCTAATTATATTGCCTAAAACATAATCGAGTTTGTGCAATAAGTTGAATAGGTGTTGACTTCTCAAAAGTACAGGGAGGGCTGTTCCATAGATAAATGGCATTCAGTCAACCAAGAACAATGTTTAAAGGGGTCAGAGACTCAAAGACAATGGATTTTCCAAGTTGATGGCTCTATTCAGCAGTTCTAGAGAGGCAGTGAAAGTATTGGAGTAACATTCCTGGAATGGAGTTCCTTTTCTCCCCAAATGTTCTTAAGCAGTTAAAGGGTGGGTGATGGGTGGGGGAGGGGAACTGCTTAGCAATATGGGGTGGTTGTCTCTGATCTTGTCTATAGCCCTAGTCTGAGCATAACATGAAACCTAACAGGGCTACTTATAAAGTCCTGATTTTTGGTTTCCAAAAACAAGTGAATAGGAGAGGGGGAGAATGGCTGAATAGAACAAAGCAGGAAAGCGTTGTACTGTCAGCTCAGTATGTGTCTACAAAATGATACAGGGTTTTTGGATTGTGCTTTTGGAAATAGACCATCCAGAACAAGAGACATCAGAGTGCTACTGGACTCTGAAATGGTCAGACTGCCTGCACCTGTTCAGTTCTGGAGACCCACTTTAAAAGGTACATTGAACAAACTCTCATATGAAAACCAGGTTAAGAGGTATACAGCAACTTAAAATAGCAAAGACTCTGTATGACTGTTAGGAATTGTGGGGAAAAAATTGAGTATTTTTGTCCTGGAGAAGAGAAATGCTAGGGAGAACATGAGAGTTTTCTTTAACTCAGGTCTGCTGTATTCATATAGATATGAAGTGTAGAATTGGGACCAATGAGTGGAGTTTAGGGAAAGTTAATTTTTGGCTTGTTTTAAGGGAATGATTTCTAGCAAATCAAGCTGTTTGATAAGTGTTATCATGTGGCACCCCCAAATACAAGATTATATACAGACAGAAGGATAGACTTTTAATTTAAATCACACGGGTTTGGCAAATGCTGTGTCTTTTCTCTCTGAACTTCAAATCTGCAAAAATTACATCTCTCTCTCTCTCTCTCTCTCTCTCACACACACACACACACACACACACTTGAAAATAAGAAGGATAAGGAAGCTCTTCATGGAAGAGAAGCCCCTGAAAGGTAGGAGGTAGGAAGTCTCAACTGTGAGGAATATTGCAGCAGGAAAAGGTGAGCACACAGACAAGAAACATCTCCCATTTGAGGAAAACTGACTCCAGGAGGGAGAGACACAGACTCAAGGTTTGAAATGAGCTACTTTTGAGGAAATAGTTAATAGAGGCTGATGGTGTTCTAGCTAGCCTGTTGGAGAGGCCTGGATTAAACAAATGACCTCTTATCCCTTTCAGTTCTGAAAAGTTATTGAATCTATATAAAAGGATGAAAGAATTCTGTTTCTGAAAGTGTTATTGGTAGCCCGCGGCTTGAGTTATCCTGAAATAATCCTATTTTTTACTAAAAGCTTTGAGAGGTTTAGATTCAATGGTACTTCGTAGACTTATGCTATTATTTTCCTTACAAAGTCGGGGGATACCGGGTTATGAATTAGTTTTTAATATGGAAAAACTGTAAACTTAGAAAGCAAACATAAAACAACATGACTTGTTAGAAGTGGACTTTATATAGCACTCCTTGGCCTACCTCAGGGTAGCCCAGGTTGCAAGCAAAGGCTGGAACAGAACAGGAAACAGAGGGAAGGCCAGTGCCATGGCAGGTGCTGGAAACTATACTGGGGCAAAGAGCAGCACTGGACATGCATGATCCAGAAGCCTTTCTAGAGCTTCTCGAAGCAATAGGTGAAAAGATACAGGAGAAAGGAAGTGTCCCCGAATGGGATCAATGATCCAGAGATGAACATGAGTTCCTTGTGAGTCTAAACATTACACACATTACTGGCAAGCTGTTCACAGTACAAGATGCTTTTGAATTGCAATGGTAGATAGGCCAGAGCTGCAGCTATTTGCTCGTGGTCTGATGTTTAGAAAGTGACTGGATAAGGTCTCTCTGTTTGGTAGTGTTTGCTGGCTGCTACAGACACCATTGCCCTGTCTTCAGAGTTAAGTCATGTTTTCTGGAAGCTGAGGCAATAGAGAGAGGCAATGATGACCACTAGATTGTCCAATGCTGTGTTTCTGTTTCTCTGTCTCTCTGTCTCCCCCCACCTCCCCTCCACAGCATACCTCCATTTGTAGCACCCTTCACTGGGCCCTCACACAGGGCTGCTGGGGAAGACGGTGATTAGGGAGCATGTCAGGGTCCAGGGAATCATGCCTTTGAAAAGTTTTCTATCCCAGGCCACTCTTTTTTTTTTTTTTTTTTTTAAGATGGAGTCTTGCTTTGTCATCTAGCCTGGAGTGCAGTAGTGGCACGATCTTGGCTCACTGCAACCTCTGCCTCCCAGGTTCAAGCACTTCTGCCTGCCTCAGCCTCCTGAGTAGCTGGGATTATGGGCACACACCACCACGCCCGGCTAATTTAATATTTTTAGTAGAGACAGAGTTTCACCATGTTGGCCGGGCTGTTCTCAAACTCCTGACCTCAGGCAATCCGTCCACCTCGGCCTCCCGAAGTACTGGGATTACACGCATAAGCCACTGCACCCAGCCTATCCTGCGTCATTCTGCTATTTTAATGTGACTCTTCCCACTTCCCCACTTCTTTCCTTGCCCACTCGTACCTTTGATGATCTTTGATGTAATTTGACAAAGGCATTGATTTGCCTCCCTCTGCTTTGATGTGTGACTTTAATTGCACAACTTAACTTTCTAGAACCTAGGTTTTTCCTGTAAACAATGGGGGAAGTAATTTCTTCTTCCAGGGATTGTTGTAAAGATTACATGACATAATGCATGTAGTTGGCACATATGTCAGCACATGTAAGCCCAAATATATGTGGAAGCTGCATAATAATAATAATATCCTCGAACTGATAGAGACTGTAGCTCCTTGAATTGGTGACTCCAGCTTTTAAAGCCTCATTTCTGCTACACGCCTTATTCTCCATGCCTGTTTCTTTTTATATTGTTTGTTTATTTTTGTTTATCTGGAAATATCCATAAAAGTCAGACATTTGTCATAAATTTATGAATAGTTGGACATGTGTTATGGAGACATAAAATTTAGGGGCTTATATGTATATTTAGAAGGTATGAAAGTGGTATGGGTTCATCAATGTGGTTTGTGGTTAGATCCAGAGATTGCCCATAAAAGACATGGGTGAGCCATGGGAAGGAGCATCAGTGGTGGTTTAGGAATAGCAGCATTGTCATATGCTGCTTGTAGGAACCACGTTACATCACTTTATGAGAACAAGCTTGATTTGTGTATTGAGGTCAGTACTAAAAGAAACCAGACAACTAGTAAAGAAGGAAAAAATACAATATTCTTTATTTTTGGTGTTTTGTTTTTGCTTGTCTATTGGTTGAGTTCTTGTTTGTTATAGGGCACTGAAACTTGAGGACCAGACCCAGTAGTTAACCCTTTGATCCTTACAGCCACTCCAGGTCTCACCTTTCAAGATCAAGGGCTAGTTTGGGTTGATGATGCCCCAAATGTTAATATATACCACAATGGTAAGAATAATTTATTTGTAGGCTTTCTTGATGGGAATCTTTATCGTGGGAACCCACCCCCAATATTTCAATGTAGATTCTTTCTATTTTCCCAAAGTGACGTCTGGCTGAGAAATAAAGAGAAAGAGTACAAAGAGAGGAATTTTACAGCTGGGCCTCTAGGGGTGACATCACATATCGGTAGGACCATGATGCCTCCCTGAGCCGCAAAACCAGCAGGTTTTTATTAAGGACTTTAAAAGAGGAGGGGATGTACAAACAGGGAGTAGGTCACAAAGATCACATGCTTCAAAGGGCAAAAGAGAGAACAAAGATCACATGCTTCTGAGGCCAATAAAGATCACAAGGCAAAGGGCGAAGCAAAGATCACAAGCAAAGGGTGAAATCAAAAACTCCTGAAGAGGGTCTCTGTTCAGCTGTGCATGCATTGTCTTGATAAACATCTTAAACAACAGAAAACAGGGTTCGAGAGCACAGAACTGGTCTGACCTCAAATTCACCAGGGTGGGGTTTTTTCCCCACTCTAATAAACCTGAGGATAGTGCAGGAGACCAGGGCGTATTTCAGTCCTTGTCTCAACTGCGGAAGACAGACACTCCCAGAGCGGCCGTTTATAGACCTGACCCCAGGAATGCATTCCTTTCCCAGGGTCTTAATTATTAATATTCCTTGCTAGGAAAAGAATTTAGCAATATCTTCCCTACTTGCAATCCATTTATAGGCTCTCTGCAAGAAGAAAAATATGGCTGTATTCTGCCCGACCGTGCAAGCAGTCAGACCTTACGGTTGTCTTCCCTTGTTCCCTGAAAATCGCTGTTATTCTGTTCTTTTTCAAAGTGCACTGATTTCATATTGTTCAAACACAGGTTTTACAATCAATTTGTACAATAGTGGTCCTGAGGGGATGTACATTCTTAGCTTACAAAGATAACAGAATTAAGAGACTGAAGTAAAGACAGGCATAAGAAATTATAAGAGTATTATTTGGGAACTGAAAAATGTGTATGAAATCTTCACAATTTATGTTCATAGGTTAAAGTAAAGACAGGCTTAAGAAATTATAAAAGTATTAATTTTGGGAACAAATAGATGTCCATGAAATCTTCACATTTTATGTTCCTCTGCCGTGGCTCCAGCCGGTCCCTCCGTTTGGGGTCCCTGACTTCCCGCAACAAATCTTTTTCTTTACTTAAAAACAACTTGTTAGGGAAACCTATGGGTTGCTACTAAAAGTTTTAGGGGCATTTAAATGAGTTTTATTTCCTTACTATTTTATTTTAACTTGTAGATCTTGGTGAAGAAGAGCCAAAATGAATAGAATCTTGAGCCTTACTTATACAAATTCCACTTAGAAAAAAAAGGGTACATATTTTTTCCATTACCATAAATTTGTTTTAGACTCTGTATATAGACATAAAAGGTTTTTTTAACTCAAGAGGACATTTGCCTTTCTAAAATGCTAGGTTGGTTATGTCCTTCTTGAAAGGCTTCCCTTGACAAGTTATAACCTAAACTTGTTTCAGGCACCCTTGACCCTAATCTGTCTTTCCAGCTTTTCTCCTGTGTTCTTTCCAGTCATACCCTGCAATCCAGAAATACTAGGTTGTGTGAGATTCTTAGGTCTGCCATGTTTCACACTTGTCTTCACCTGGCTTCATGCCTCTGCAAATGCTAATTCCTCTACCTGCCTTTCCCTCGTGTGCCAGCAAGAGGAATTGCTGTTCTTCTAGGTGCTGCTCTCTCTTAGGACCTACTTTGTTGACCATCCTAATTCAGTGGCTTCTTATCTGGTGCACTAATGCCTTCCGTGCTGTGGTCTCATCCCACTGTATTGTGGCTGTATTCTTCTTGGACTTTTCCTTATCAACTGTGAACACCTTAAGGATGGATTTGGATTCATCTTTGATTATTGCTCAACAACGACTTGGTAACTGACAGGTTATTCCCAAAAAGGTTGCTACAATGCTTGCCTGTTTTCATTAGAAAATAGAACCAAACTTAAAACATGGACAGTGGAGATGAATTATTTGTCCAGAATTCTATAATGCAATGACACAGTTTTGTGTTTACTTTTGTCTTTTCCATTTTTTCTCTGCATTTTTGCTTAGTTGTGAACATAATATGTATCTTAAATATCATACTTTTAAAAATCATAGTGTAAGTACTTTCTTTGCTGCTGTCTAATCTTCATAGTTCTCATCTTTAATGATTCATTTAAATTTTACCAAGTGGATAATTTATATATGCATTTGTTTACCAGTGGATATTTATTTTTCCTCCTAATTTTTAATACTTATTGCTGTAATAATTATATATTGGATACATTTAGAAATTAAGAATGCCAGAGTGCAGAGGAAAGAGCCACTGATTTGAATTCAGAAGATCTTGGTGCCAGCTTTGCTCCATGTCCTTTGTGTGTCTTTGGACCTTGACTGCTCTGAACATGTCTTCATCTATAGTGAGGGATATCTGTGGCATATGATTCTTGTAAAGATCAAATAAAATCCAACAATGGGAAGTGAAGTAGATTTGTAGGATCCTTAATGTGAGCTAACCACTGAAATTTTGCTATCTTATTTCATTGAATCTTGGGAGCAGCCTTATAAAATCAGCTGGAAGAGACTGAATAACTTGCTTTAAGACATGCATGTAAGGGCTGAGATCCAAACCAAGGAATATTCAGAGAAGAAACACACTTAGGAAAAGATGCACATATTGAGATATTCAGAATATTTTTATTATTGATCAATATTTCATAAAACTGCTTAAATCTCTGATAAAGAATAGTGAATCTAGTTGTCAAAGTCTGACTTCAAGATATGATCTTGGTATGAGACAGGCAAAAAGAATTAGTGATGTAACAGGGGAAATAACCAACATCCTATGTGAAGGTGAATGGAGGGGCATCAATGAAAGTAGACCTTTATAGAGAATTGGGCTTGATGACATCTCAAGGTTATGGCAATTCAAAGAAGATACAGAGTTACAGAGCTGGAAGGAAAGAGGGAGAAGTTAGTGGTTCATTTTGCAGAGTGAGGATGAATTGTAATGAGATGTAACCCGGGGCTTAGCCAGGAGATGTTTGTAATCTTTTAGACAAATAGAAAAGGAAGCTGTCACATTGTAGAAGCCAAATTGACAGATTTGTTGTCATTTTCCTTCTAAAATACATATCAGATAACGCCAGTATTGTGTAGGGTTAGTACATTTATTGTGGTATCTGTCTCCTGGGTTTGAAACCCTAGCTTTGTGACCTTGAACAAAGTTACTTAACCTTCCTAAGTTTCATTTTATTTCTGTAAAATGGAGAGAGTAATAGTAGCATTCATTCCATAGATTCAATGTGAGAATTAAATGAAATAATGCATGTCAGTGGCTCAACACAAAGTAATCATTAATAGTGGTGTTTAGTGTATGTTTATTATTATGTCCTGTCCTACTTCTGTTGATCTTCATTACCTGCCCAAACCCTTGCAGTTCTCTATTATCTGACTCCATTCCACTTTAGAGGTCCAAATTCAAAAGCCTGGCAGGTAAAAAGCAAGCTAAGCAAGACTGTGGCAAACTGGGGCCACATGTTCCATATAAAAAAGAGGCACCTGCTACTCACTTTAAGCCCAGTGTGGTTACCTTTGAAGAGGTGTCAGAAACCTGGACTTTATGTGGAACTTCCCACTTTTTAAATGTGTATAACTAAATAAGAATTCTTAACCAACATGCTAAGACCAAAAAAAGCCCATTTGCAGACTGGATATGGTTGCCCTCTTGCAGCCTCTGCTTTATGCCTTTCTGCAGCCTTGATGACTGCTTACTTTTCCTTGCATAGACTTTATTCCTTGTGCTTTCAGACATACTAGTAACTGTTTGAATTGGCTTTGGTTCTTTCTCTCTTTAACGGTATTGTTCTTTTAGACTTGACTTGACCTGACTATTTTCTCTGAATTCATCATTTCTTCCTCTGTGGTGCCAGTGCACTTTGCAGATCTTTCTATTCTAGTACTTAAGACATTCATTTACTTGTTTATTCAGTAAATAATTATTAAGCAGCAGAATGCATAGTAGCTATAACCGTAAGCCTGCCTTCCTGGTGCTATGTTACAGAGTTAATGTTCATGAGTCACCCCTCCCATAAGAAAGTGAGCTCCTTTAGGGTGGGAACCATGTGCTCTTTGTCTGGTTTCTTCAGCAATTGGCTCTGTGAGCCTGACACCCAGTGTATTAGTTTTCTATTTTTGCTGTAACAAATTACCATGAACTGAGTGTCTTAAAGCAACAAGTACTTATTATTTTATAGTTATAGAGGTCAGACCCTGAAATGGGTCTCACAGGGATAAAATCAAGCAGGGCTCTGTTCGTTGTGTAGGCTCTGGGGAGAATCTGTTTCCTTGTCTTTTCCAGCTTCTTGAGGCTGCCTGCATTCCTTGGCTTCTGGCCCCTTCCTCCAACCTCAAAGCAAGAATGTAGCATCTTGAAATCTCTCTCTGACTAGGACCTCCTAATTTGCCTCCCTCTTCCAATTATAAGGAATCTTATGATTACATTGGGCCCACCTGGATAATACAGGATACTTCATCTCGAGGTCAGTTGATTAGCAACTTTAATCAATTTGCAACCTTAATCCCCCTTGCCGTGTAACATAACATATTCACAGGTTCTGGGGATTAGGACATGGACATCTCTGAGAGCCGTTTCTCTGCCTACCACACCTGGGAAGCAGAATGAGTGAATGAACCATGAAAGCCTATAAACTCTCAGAGCATGGGAACCAGTATTGTGCTAGGCACAAAAAGGCAGAAAGAGGAGTTTCTGCCTTTTTGACCTCAAGGAGTTGATGATCAGTGGAATTGCAAGGGAGTGACTGAGAGCCCTTCAGTTCTCTCTTCTCTTCTCAGATTAAACATCTCTGACTTTTGCAAGTTTTCCCTGTCCCAGGTTTATGTCAGACCCCTTGTTTTGTGTTCCCAAATCTCCCTCTTTAGGAATACAACACATTTGTGATGCTAGTTCAATAAATGCCCTTCTACAATATTTTACAGGTAAGGAGGGCAGTTAAACATATCTGTCTTATTTCTCATTGTGTAGTATTGAGCAGAGTGTCTGGCATATGGTAAGTGTTCAAAATTTTGTTGAAAAAATGAGTAAGTAAACAAATGAAGAATTAGAGAAAAATGAAGTTTTTAAATCACCTACTACTTAATCCATATTGGGGCTTTGTAACCGGGACCTTGGGCTGTCTGATGTGGCATGCAAAATTGGAAGGATGAGCAAATGTACATTTCCCCTGCACTGTGGAGCAAAGAGTATTTATCAGATTCTCGAAGGAGTCTATATTAGTCTGTTCTCATGCTGCTAATTAAGACATACCAGAGACTGGGTAATTTATAAAAGAAAGAGATTTAATTGACTCACAGTTCAGCATGACTGGAAGGCCTCAGGAAGCTTACAGTCATGGCAGAGGGGGAAGCAAGCGTGTCCTTCTTCACATGGCAGCAGGAAGGCAAAGAATGAGAGAAGTGCAGAGCAAAGTGGGGAAAAGCCCCTCACAAAACCGTCAGATCTCATGAGACCTCATTCACTTTCATGAGAACAGCACGGGGGAACCACCCCCATGATTCAGTTACCTCCCACGAGGTCCCTCCGTCAGCACGTGGGGATTACAATTCAAGATGATATTTGGGTGGGGACCCAGAGCCAGACCATATCAGAGTCCATAGCCAAAAAGAGATTAGGAAGTACTGCTTTAAGTGAGCAGAGTTGAAATGAGGTCATTTGGCCATAGTATAGAGTAGGAGGATACCATATTGTCCCACGAAAGACTGACTTCTTTCTGAAGCTAACTGGGCTTTTGTATCTTTTTCCCTCGACTCTAGAAGAGAGCATGCTGCCTCTCCTGACACAGGACTCTAATTCCAAGGCTCGGAGGGGCATTTTAAGAAGAGCTGTCTTTTCTGAGGACCAGAGAAAGGCTCTGGAGAAAATGTTTCAGAAACAGAAATATATCAGCAAAACAGACCGAAAGAAACTTGCCATCAACTTGGGACTAAAGGAATCACAGGTACTAATGAGCAGGAAGATGTCTACTGCCTCTGATTTCTTGTGAGATCAGATGAAATCAGTTGTGTTCAGGGTGGTGGGCCATAGGAAACTGCTTCTGATTTCTTAAGGCACACAATGGAATCCATTTATTTGGCAAATATTTCTTATACCAGGCATGGTGCTAGAGCCTGAGGTGTTCTTGAAATGCTTTTCATATATTTTAGTGGGTGGAGATATATGTCCCATTTCCTATTTGGAAACAGATCCATTTGCTGAGAGGTCTAGGTTTTTGCCATTGGGCTGCTTAGTTCTTTTCAAATGAAGAGAAATGCTAAGGATGTGGTAATTACATTATAAATCGTTTGCTCTGTGTTCAGAGAAACAGGTTAAATAATTCTTCAAAAAGCAGGAACCACTTTTCCTATCTTTCTTTTCATTTTCAATCCAAAATCAAAGCATGAATGAGTGACTCATGAATACTTCTTAATGGGTTTCATGATTTTGTTCTTTAGGTTTATGTCAAGTTCAATTAAGCAGTTTCACATGTGCAACACTTACATAGCTTTCTTCTTCATTGAGGTTTTGTATAATTGTGAATGGGACTTTCTGGCTTTTGGAGTTGTATAATACTCCATTTAACGTTTGACCTACTTGTTGCAAATAATCAATATCATAAGGCACTGGAAGTTTCCTATTTAACCCTCCTTATAATTGTCATGTGAAATACACATTATAATAATCCCTGTTTTCTAAATGAAAAAATAAGAAACTGAATGTAGGTTCTATATCATGTAGTAAAGAGGTTTCGGAGGTAGGCTCCCACCTTAGACAACCTGACTCTGGGGTTTGTGTTCTCTTTAACCTAAAAATACCACGTACAGTTGTGCATAGAGTTCACTGTACAAAGGCGTCTGGCCAAAAGGAATGGTGGCAGCTGAAATGCAGCACGAACACTGTTTGCCAGGTTGAGTTTTCTGGTGCAGGCCTACATCTGCCTGAAATTTTTGAATTAACATAAAGGGACTAAAGAGTTAGAGGAGGCTCTGGGCTAACCACCATACTCTACTGTTGTTCCTCACTACCGATGACTTAGTGGTTAATTTTGGATCTTATTAAAACCAGTTATTGGCTGGATGCGGTGGCTCACGCCTGTAATCCTAGCACTTTGGGAGGCTGAGGCGGGTGGATCATGAGGTCAGGAGATCGAGACCATCCTGGCTAACACGGTGAAACCCTGACTCTACTAAAAATACAAAGAAAATTAGCCGGGTGAGGTGGTGGGCTCCTGTAGTCCCAGCTACTTGGGAGGCTGAGCAGGAGAATGATGTGAACTCGGGTCGCAGAGTTTGCAGTGAATCGAGTTCACGCCACTGCGCTCCAGCCTGGGTGACAGTGTGAGACTCCATCTCAAAAAAAACAAAAAACAAAAAAATAAACACAGTTATTATTGGACTAAACGCTCCTTGACCCTAGGGAAGTGTCTTCACAAGCTGCTTGCCCCAACTTTGTCAAGTAGTAGGAAGCTGCACGAGGTGTAGTAGAGGGTAATTGGCCTATATTAGTCAGTCTGTGCTCTCCTAGCTGTGTGGTACTAATGAGTCCATAACCTTAATTGGCTGTTCTGTGCCTCAGTTTCTCACTTAAAAAAACAGAAACAAATATAAGAATTCTGTCTATGTCACAAAGCAGTTTTGTGTATATAACAGATAAATCAGCAGCCAGATCTTGATGGTCTGTTGTGTGCAAGACACTGTGCTAGGTAGGCAATAACAGGGAATATTGATAAATACTGAATAAGACACAGTCTGTGCACCTCAGAAGCTTCCACACCCCATGGAAACTCATAAAAAGTTAGACAGTATCACGTGGTAGGTTAGATATACTGCCCAATAAGGGGATCAGTTCTCAAAGTTACTTATCTCTCTGAAGCCTTATGTTGATCACCATCTCTGCAAAGGACAGCCGTGTGATGGGTCCATATACGACTTCTGGAAAGTCTAGTGATGGAACTCTCTGATCTCAGAGGAGCTGTTGGGCCTGAGAGAGGATATCAGGGGAGCTCAGTGGGCCTGGCCTGCATCTCACTGGTGTAAGAAGCTCCTATTATCAGAGGGGAGACAACAGGCAGGTTTGGGAGCTTGGAGAGCCTCTGGTTGAGTTGAAACTTGAAGTAGGTGTTAAAAGATGGAAAGCAGTGGAAAGTAGCTAAGTTCCATCTGACAGTGCTCTGAGAAATTGTGAAAATCTCTGATAGTACATATTGTGGTTCCCAAAAGAGACTTCTGAAAAGAGAATGCAACAGACATATATAAAAATTATGGGGTATGACCACAATCTCTCCTCCTGCCTCAAAAACAACTATTTTCCTATTTGTATGCTATCTTGTTCTTATCCATAGGCATATGGTTTTACATAGTTAATTATATTGTGTTTAAAATTTGGTGCCTCAGGAGTGAGTACTTTCTGTCTTATTGAATCACAGAAGTAATTTAACATTTTCTTATTTGTAAATCTATCCATTACACAAATGTATCAATTATACAATTGTAGTATATCGATTATAACACTACAATTTGTAAATATATCAGTCTTATTTGTAAATGTATCAGTATATCAGTTACAGCATCTCAGAATTTAACATTTTCTTGTTTGTAAATATATCCATTACACAAATGTATGAATTACACAATTATATCAATGATAACATTATAATTACAATTTGTAAATATACCAGTCTTATTTGTAAGTATATCAGTATATCAATTACAGCATCTCAGAAGTAATTTAACATTTTCTTATTTGTAAATACATCAATTACAATATATCAATTACATGGTATTTATTGTGGTAAATTCAATTAAAAAGGAAACCTGTAAAGATAAAAGTGAAAACTCATCTTACTCTCCTCGAATCCAATTCCTTGGTTACTTCTGTCATTCACAAATGGCACTTGTTTGAATTTTTGACACATCATGTATTATTTAAAAAATAAATTTATATGTGTATTGTATATGCACGAACATATAGTAACACAAACACTTGCATGCTTACCAGGTGCCCTTACATTTTGTGTCAATTAATTCATACAAAAATTTTATGAAGTAACTACTTTTACTACCTCTATTTTACAAGTGAAGAGGCTGATAATTGTGTTTGTGTGTATATATACATATATATACATATACATACTTACATAAAAATTTAATCACATTGTGCATGTATTTTGACATTTTCTAAAGAACAGTACAAATCACCTGTATATCCAGCTCACAGATCTAGCAGTAGAGGCCAGAAGATCCTCCAAGTATCCCCTCCCACTCACTATCTGCTCCTTCCAGGGGTATCCTCTATCCTAACTTGTAACTTCTTAGTTTTGCCTCTTTTTGTACTTTTATATAAGTAGTATTATTCAGTGTGTAGACAGAATGTGGTATATCCATATAGTAGAATATTATTTACCCATAAAAGAGAATGAATTACTTACTGATAATACTACAACATGGATGAACCTTGAAAATATTATACTGAGTGAAATAACACACTTACAAGGACCACATATTATATGATTCCATTAATTTGAAGGTCCAGAATGGGGAAATCTATACAGACAGGAAGTAAATGAATCTACTTAGGGCTGGGGAAATAGGGAGTAGAACAGAGATAGCCAAAGGGTGTGGGATTTCCTTTTGAGGTGATGAAAATGTTCTAAAATTGGTGATGGTTGTGTTATCTGTGAATACATGAAAACCTTTGAACTGTACCTTTTAAGTGGACGAATTGTACTGTATGTGAATTATAGGCTCATAGAGCTATTAACAAATTTTAAAAAATAGTATCATTCAGTATTATTTATATAAATAGAATTATATATGCTTCTTTTACTTAACAGTATGTTTGTGAGAATCTTGATGTTGTGTGTAGTAAAAGCTCATGTGTATTCATTGCTGTGTAGTACTACCATTATGTAGTATACCACAGTTCATCCATTTACTGATGGTGGGCATGTGTATTGTTCCCAGTTTTGGGCTATTATGAATAATGCTACTGATAATGTGTATTGTTTGGTGCTTTTTTCCTTTTTGAATATTATGGATTGCTTCCTTCCATGTCAGTACATACGGATCTACTTCATTCTTTTTTTGTGTTTCGTAACAGACCATCATTTCACCATCCTCAATTTTAAGTTACTTCCAATTTTCACTATCACAAATTTTTATGCACTTTAAAAATATTTTGTAGGAAGAGAGTGTGAGTGAGATTTATGTGTAAAAGTGTACGTACATTTAAAAGGTGGCAGATTAAAAATTCCTTTCCAAATACAACATTGTATCAAAGTAGATACTGACAGATGAAAGTTTCATTCTTACTAACAGATAGTTCCATTTTGCAAAACCTCTACCATTTATGATTTGAAAAATGTTGCCACTCTCATGGGCAATGCTATTTGTTATTTTTCAATTTGAATTTTCCTAACTACCAGAACGTGAGGGGCTTTTAATTGTTTTATTGGCCACTTATAGTGTGTGAATTGGCCTTTTCATGGCTGCATCTTTTTTTTTTTATCATATTGTCTTTTTATTGATATGTAGCAATACTTTGGCTGTTAGTCAAGAATTATGGAATATTATGGTTAGGAAATTTTTCCTGTTTCAGATGTTGCAAAAGTCCTAAGTTTGTGACTTTTTTTATTGAGGTAAAATATGCATAGCAGAATTTATTATTTTAGCCTTTTTTAAGTGTTCAGTTCAGTGACATTAAGTACATTGACATTGTTGTGAAACCATCACCACCATTCATCTCCAGAAACTTTTTCATCTTGTAAAACTGAAACTCTGTATCTATTAAACAATAATTCACCATTTCCCCCTCTCCCACCTCCTGGCACCCACTATTCTACTTTATGTTTCTATTAATGACTATTCTAAGGCTCTCATATGAGTGGAATAATATGGTGTTTGTACTTTTATGCCTGGCTTATTTTATTTAGCATAATATCTTCGAGGTTCATTTCTGTTGTAGCATGTGCCAGAATTTCCTTCCTGTTCAAGGCTGAATAGTATTCCTTTGTATGTATATACCACATTTTATTTATCCATTTATCTGTTCCTGGGTGCTTGGTTGCTTCCCATTTTTGGCTATTGTGAATAATGCTGCTGTGAACATGGATGTACAAATATCATTTGGATTTCTTGCTTTTAGTTTTGTTGGGTAGTTTCTGGCTTGTTCATATGTTTGTACAGAAATTTCTCATTTTTATGTATTCGGCTCCTTTTTATCTTTTCCATGTATCCTCTGTTTTATGTCATGCTTATGAAAACATTCGTCTTCCCAAGACTATCACGATAATCTCTATTTTCTTTTAAAACTTTTGCAGTTTTATTTTTATATTTAGCTATTTAATCTATCTGGAATTTGTTTTTGCATTTCTTGAGAGGTAGAACTTTCAATGTTACTCCCCATATATGCTTTTGTCTCAACACGATTGATTGTGAGGAAACTCCTTTTATGCTTTTTTTTCTTTGAGATATCACTTAACAACAAATATTTATAGATATACAGAAAAGCTAAGAGAAGAGGAAATAACGAATGTGATGATAAAGGAAAGAATCACCACTGAAAACAAAAAACTGTCTCAGTGAAAACCCATTAGAAATACTTGGCATGCTTTCTAGGAATAAATGCCCACTGCAGACAATAAATGAGCTTATGAGTAGAACCAAGTGCTGTGGTATGTACACATTAGTTCTGTTTTCATATGAAAAGCCTTAATCATGGTGTTGTAACTGAGATAACAGTCTTTTGCACTGAATTGCCTGGGGTAGATTTCTTTGGTTGCCATTTTGAACACTGCCAATCAAGTTGAAAGAAAGAAGAAATTGTTTTTCCAATCTGGAATGAGAGCCTCAGATAGAATTTTTTTCTTCACTGAGAGAAATACTTGGTTGATATAATTATTTCTTCAGGTAAAAATTTTCTAGTTTTTGTTTTAAAAATAGAAATCAACTAAATTGTTAGTGTAAGGATGTGATGCAATACACAGGAAAGAATGTGATTGGCTTTTAAGCTTCCAGGAAACCAGTTGTGAAGTTGTCAGCTCAGGCACAGTTGACTACACAGTGTATAAAGAGGGAGGTTAGTAATAAAGACTCAAGTGGCATGGGTTGGGGGTAGGTATGGTTCAAATTAGGAACCACCATCATAAGCACTTTTGGCTTAATTACAATTAGTTGTTATTTATTGAGCCTAATTCTTACAGTTTGATAAATCCTGGGAGTAATCAAGACTTGGAAACTGTATAAAGCCTGCAATTTATCAAAGCATTACAGAATGCATTCTTAATTTAGTCTCAGAAAGCTCCTGATGAGGTCTGAATGTTTATAAGAGGCTGGGCCCTGGAGTCAGACAGTCATGAATTCTAGTCTCAGTGCTTCCATTTCACTAGCTGTGTGACCATGAGCTAGTTAATATCTCCAAACTTCAGTTTTTTTAACATGTGAAATGAGGACTTCTTACAGCCATTCTGAGGATCAAATTATAAAATCCATCCCGAGTGCATAGCCTGATGCCTGGCACTAAATAAACACTCAGATGCTAATACTAGCCCATCCATTTTCTTTGAATAAATAATTCAGCACAGACTAGATGATATTTTAAAATATCTAGGAGTTAAATGAATTTTGAAAGCTATCAGACTTACAGGGTGTAACCAATTTATCACAGTTGTTTTGTTTCAAATGTGTGTATGGGGATATTAGATTAAGATATTTTTGGCAGGGTGTGGTGGCTCATGCCTGTAATCCCACCACTTTTGGAGGCCAAGGCGGACAGATTCTTTGAGCTCAGGAGTTCAAGACCAGTCTGGGCAACATGGTGAAACACTGTCTCTACAAAAAAAATATAAAAATTAGCCTGTTGTGGTGGTGCGTGCCTGTCATCCTAGCTACTCAGGAAGCTGAGGTGGGAGGATTGCTTGAGCCTGGGCGGTGGAGGTTGCAGTGAGCTGAGATTGCACCAGGGTGACAAAGAGAGACCCCATCTCAAAAAAAAAAAAAAAAAGATATTTTGAAGGAGTTCATGTGAAAAGCCACAAGGACTTTTTGAGGTCGGCTCTCATAAGGTATTCTGTAGAAAGGATAGCAGAAGCAATTACAGTTTAAAATGCTGAAGTAAAATAACCTGGAATAAGTGATCATTTTGTGCAATTATTTTGTCAATAGGTGAAAATTTGGTTTCAGAACAGAAGGATGAAATGGCGGAATTCCAAAGAAAAGGAAGTGCTTTCCAACAGGTGTATCCAAGAAGTAGGTCTTCAAGAGGATCCCCTCTCACGGTCTGCTCTGGGTTTCCCTTCTCCATGTCCTTCAATATGGGATGTCCCCCAACAGCACTCAAGTCCAAGATGGAGGAAGAATTCTCCAGAACCTTCAGAAAGACTAATCCAGGAGAGTTCAGGGGCACCACCCCCAGAAGCAAATTCACTGCAAGGTGCCTTGTATTTATGTTCTGAAGAAGAAGCTGGAAGCAAGGGTGTACTTACTGGGGCCGTCTGAATGGAAGCATTCTTCCACGTCAATTTAAAAGAACGCTTAGTAGTAACATTTGGGCTCTAATGCCAGCTCGCCTGTACCTCATCAGTGCTTACAGCCTAACAACTTTGGAGCGATATATGAACTAATGCTTTAGGAAACTCACTCCAGTGTTCTCTTGTTTGGCCCTAGACTCAGGCTTAATTTGTAAGTGGAGTAGAATCTCCCAAGAAGTATGATGGAACTGAAAAGAATGACAGCAACAGCTGGCTCGGTCCCTGCTCTTAGTATGTGTATATGTGTGTGTGTCTCTATGTGTGTAGATACATAAATATCCATTAAAATGTGTTAGTAGAAACTAGTTTCTCTTTAACTATTGCATTGAGTAAATTCATTTCCTTTTATGTGAAGAAAAATACCATTGACAGAATGTTATTAATTTTTTGAAAATAATGTAAAATTTGGACTTTGGTGCAAACTTTCATACTCCAAAAACATATTTTAAAAAAATCTCTATTTTCCAGCTTCTTTTGGTATCCAGCTGTAAGTGAATTTTAACACCTTGACTCAGCAGTCCTCATCAAATGAGCTGCTGCTAGATACATACACTGAAAATATATATTTAAAATGAACCCGACAAGCAAATTAGAAGAATTTCTATATATAACTATTAGTATCCTTAATCTCCAAGTCTCTGGACCATCGGGCCATCGGGAGGCCCATTTAACTAATAAGTATTTTTTAATCTTTTCTCTGTAAATATGGGCCTAGACCAGGGTTTGCAAAATAAAATGCCTTTAAGACCCTGTCAGGTAAATAAAAGCTATGGCTCACCCAGAGATATTTGAGTCAAGTAATTTTTCAAATACCGTATTGGCCAAACAGAATATCTATGCCAAGAAGTATGTAATCTCTGGCCAAGACTAAAGAAAGCCGTGGTGTCACAGTTCTTAAAATTTTTCTAACTGGACTTAAAACCACAATAACTAACAGAATCAACGATGATTTCTGTTTGCGCTTCTAGTTAGAGACTCAATCTTCCACTTAGGTGACATACACTTTACATATTAGGTTATTTTTATGTATTAACAAACACTACACAGATGTTTTGTGTTTTTTGACTACCCTGAAATCGTATCTTTCTAAAATTGCATTTCTGGTAATGATCTACTTAGTTAATCCAGAAGTTTTTACTCCAGGACCAAGAAGAAATTATGTTTCACTTTGAAGGAAATGAAACAAAAATAGGAAATGATGTGGTTTTGCCTTGAACTCTTATCAATCTGTGGACAAGAAACACTCTGAGAAGTTCATTAAGTGGCATTTTGTTAGTGAGTAAGCTGCATAATGATGGTGGCTTCTAATTTGCTGAACTCCGCTAGTCTGAGAAGTTAACGTCTTTTGAGGGTTTAGTGTTTAGAAAAGATATTTCAGAAGATAATGGTTTTAATCAACAGCAGGAAATTATTTTATATGAATAGAATTGGACTTGGTATGTCAACCCGTGTCTTTACCACATGATCTTTTACTTAAAAGTCATTTTAGAAGCGTGTCTCAGTGCCTCATTGTGGGGAATGGGAGCACGGATCTGCTGACAAAAATTTGAAATTTAAAACCAGTCTTAAAATGATTTATAGTATGGTTTCTATTCTTATAATGTTAACCTCATTTACATTTATAGGGTACTTCCTATGTGCTAGAGACTGTGCTAAGCATTTAGGGTGGATTAGCTCATCTAATCCTCATGGCAATAACCCTGTGATGTAGACGGTAATTACTATCAGGATTCCTGTTACCCAGACAAGGACACTAAGGCAGAGTATGGTTGGGGTAATTATCCAGCGTCATTAAGTTAATAAATGGGATTTGAACCCTGACACTCAAGTTTTGAATCTTGGAATCTTACCAACCATGTGGGGATTGCATACCAGTGTTATGTATTCACACAGCTATGGGATGCATTGTAAGAGATACATTTTGGGGATTGCAGTGAGATTTATTAAAGAAATTCAGAAGCTTTACCATCTTACTTGGGTAATGATTTTATCTTCAGTATTGTCTTTTCTATTAGATTTTGAACTTTAAGGAAATTAAGGAATTGCAAAATCCTTCAACTATGAAGCCTCTATAGAAAATAGTCCCATAGGAGTGTTTAAGCATAAGCACTGTTATCCTATATATATATATGAGATATATATATAATATATATATCACTCACTGCTAAAATCATAAAATGCTTATCTGTGGTCAGTGTTTCTTGAGAATAACTTGAAAGTCAAATAAGAGAAACCTCTATCATGGCTATCTGATAACACAGGTAGGGCTAATTGGTTCTTAAATAATCTTCCCTCAGGGCCTAACCCAGCAGAGGCATCTAAGACCCAGCAGAGGCATCTCACTGTAAAATTAGCTTGATATTCAAATAGATAAATGAAGCTTTTAATTGTTTTCCACTTTGGAATGTGTTAACACTTAGGAAAAGTATGCTTTAGATGGATATATTACCGGTACTTAGGAAACACACACACAGTACACATACATATGCCCGGTGTGCTTTCACTTTGCCTTTACTTGCCTGAATGGCTGGAGAGAGTGGTTGAGCCCCCTGTCGTGTTGAAGGGTCTCCCTTCTCTCTTGTGCTTTGCTACCATCCTTCCTCCCCTCATGTAAATATATAATTTTCTCTGCCATCTAGATGCAGACTCCGTTTCTTCAGTTGATGACATATTAGTAGATTTGTTGTCTGCTTTCCAGACAAACAGTGCTCTAGTGAGAGCCAGGGCCATAGAAGCCTGGAGGCTGAAGCATTTTAATTTAAAAAAACATTATCAAAAAGATCTTAAGCAGATGAGAAAAAATGGTGAGCATTATCCCCTAAGCTTTCAGAAAGATAAATACTTAGTGTTGGAAATATATAAACAGGTTAGGGATGATCACTGGCTTTTGAGACAATGAAAACCATGATCATTAATGTTTAAAGGGCAGTTCTATTTTCTTAGTAATATGGTGGTTTGAATGGGGAACCCAATCATTCAGTCCAGTGGTTCTCAAACATTAAAAGTACATGTCCATGAACATGTTATACCTTCCAACCAGTTTTGGATATGTGCTCAGATTTGGGCATACACTTCATACATACTGCTTCAAAATCCCTGCCACCAACCCCACCTCTCAAGAATCATTAATACACATTCTTGTTCACTTTTCAAATACAAGTCACAATTAAATATGCTTGTCCAAGCCACAGATGTTCTTTCTGGCCCCCTTCACTCCACTTTCTGATGCATTCCCTTAAAAACTACATACCCCCCAGTGTGCTCCATGACCCCTCCCTTGATGACTAATGGTTCCATGAAGCCTATTCTACTGTGTACATAAGCTTGTTAGACACTGCATTTTGGCTATCTGAAATTCCTCAAAATATTTTTTCTCTCTAAATTTAAGCACTTACCGGGCACATGTATGAAGCCTTATCCTAGCTCTATGTAAACAAGTATGATGAAGAGCATGGTTCTTGACCTCAAGGAGCTTCTAATCTAGTCTTCTTGCCAAGAAGAAATTCTGTGACATTTTCCATTCCGCTGGTGATGGGATCCAGTGAATTTGGGGCAAAAAATAAGCTTCTGACATCCTCCAACACGTCATCTTCCATTTGCAATGCAAGGTTCTTCCATGATCCACCATACAGAAAAATGCAAGCCGCTTGACCCTGCTGCTTTTCTGTGCTGTCCCTCCTCCATTCAGGCCACAGTGGACCCAAGAGGAGCCAGAAAGAGTCCAGGGAAGAATTCAGTAGCTTCCTTTTGTTCAAGGTGTACCCTATTTCTATTTTTCTTTCTACCTTCTCAGCCTCAGGTCAGCCTATACCTATGGTAAGTAGGACAAGAGAAGAAACAGCAAATAGTGCAAGTTGGGGAAGTCAGGATGAATGTTCTTGAATACATATGGAAAATTTTGCAGAATTAATTACAAACAATTTCTGAAATAAGCAACTACCCTAAAGACATAGCAATAGCCTAACAAAGATGGCCCTTAGCTTCCAGCTACTACTTCAGTTCTGTTACATTATTATTTCTGGTTATAAAGAAGCACACTTGAAAATATAGCTAACAAAGTAAAGTTCATATATAATTCCACCTGGTGATAGCCAACTTAGCTCTTTTGTGAAACAATTTCAGTCATTTTTTGAATGTATTTTTATGTAACTATATGTGTCTAAACAAATTTGGACCATAGCATATATCCAGTTGATTCTACTATTTTTTTACTCAATTTTGTACACAGAACATTGCCCCATGTTATTAAAAATTACTTGAAACTATTTATGACAGCTGTGTAATATCTCCTTGTAGCTCTTTCACTTCTTAAGGTGGACCAGGGTATGGGGCTAGGAGATGACAGGTGATAGAAAGAATGATCATGGGCTTTTGTACCATAGAATACACTTAAGAAAAGTAATCTGATGTTTATCATTTATTTGAGCTAAATGAAACTTCAACAAACATAAGACTTAGAATGAAAACTGAATAAATATACTTTTAGTGGTGTTAAATATAGTGTATCAAATACACCAAAGGGAGAGCCTCTTCCAAAAAGCCACCATAAAGCTTATCAAAACATATCCCATGCGTTCAAAATTCAAGAGAGTGTACACACTTGGATTTGAGTCCATAGCCAGCAGCAAACATAATAATATGGGATAATAATTGTCTGTTTTATTGTGCTTTGTAGTCAAACTGATACATTATTCAGCTTTTTGAGTATGTATTATTGTTTACCAAGTGGGCAGGAGTCAAGCAAACTAATGGGGATCTGGCATCTGTCACCACTCCAAAGCCTGAGGTGATAAATCTGGTTTGCCTATTTAGTCTAGAATCTCCCACTTGTTATAAATTTATGGATTTTTTCTCCAAGTTGCTTAAATAACCGAAGGGGAGAGTCTTTCAAGATCAGAACATTCCAAGGTTAAAAGGGAGCTGGGAAACTTTTAATGTTATTTACACCTAAAGCAGAAACATCATTCCTTGATGTTAGTCAAAAGCCAAACACCAGGCATGCCAAATTTTAATAAAATACAGTGATATAATTAATACATAATATATATCTAATTCTTTCACTATGAATGCCATGCCCATCAACTACTGAATAGGCATTGTAGTTTCCTAGGTCTGTTGCAATAACTACCACAAACAACAGTAATTTATTCTCTCATAGTGGTAGAGGAAAGACACCTAAAATCAAGGTGTCAGGAGGGCCATGCTCCCTCCGATGCATCCAGAAGGCTGCTTTTTCCAGTTGTTGATAGGTCCATCTCCAGCTCCAGGCATTCTTTGACCTGGGGTTGCATGACTGCATTGT